TAGTATCAAGGCTTCCCTAGTAAATGTCTGTTCCTTGGACATGTCTTTTAGTTGTAGCTGGCTCTTGATCTTTGTGTCTGTTCCAAGATCCTACCTTCCCAATTTATTAGGGATGAGAAGGTGGTATCTATTTGGCTCAGTCCTTTGGTACTAGATGATGGTGATGATTGTGACGTAGGCAATCACAGTGTTGTCATACAAAGGTGAACAACTGATTACAACAGATACGGCATCCTGGCTAAAATAGTATAATTAGCAATAACAACATCATCAAGCACAGTCTAGAAACTGACAAACTGTGGTAATTGCTAACTTGGTAACTTTAACCATAGGAGCAAGAGCTATAGTTACAAAATAACATCCAACATAAACCAGGAACTTATATGCAATGAGTTTTCCCTTGGTAGAGTGATTTTACCCTGTGGTGGGAAAATTTAAGAGGGATAGGGGACAAAACAGAGAGATAACTGAAGATAAATATAGTAGAAACAAAGCTGGAGGACAAAGGATGATCACCCAAGCTTTGGGAAACTGGATAAGAGGACAGGAGACAAAGAATGAAGGAAAAAGCAAAAGAATATCAAAGTGAACTAGAAAGATTAGCAACAATGTTCATTCACATGAAAATATCAAAAACTCAAGAAAGAGTTGAGGAAAGAGAGAAGCAGGACAGGCAAAACAAAACAAACAATGCAAGTCAAAACTTAAACAACCTCCTCCTCCAAAAATCCAACTTAAAAGGGAGAGTGAAATAAATTAATAAACCAAGAGAAGAAGAAGAAAAAAGTTCCTCTGATGCCCACAGTTCTGTGATAGTGCCCAAGCTCTAGCCTAAATCTGTGCTGAGTAGTTCCTCCAAGTCTATAGTAGAATTAGTGGTGGGTGTGGGGCTGATCTTGGCCTCCAGATGTGGGGGTTGGGGCCAGTCCTTGGATGGCCCACCCACATCTCCTTACCATGTTTGTCTGTATGGTGCTCTCAGACACAGCCGCAGGCTGCTCCCAATCCCGTGTACAGTTTGCCCCTATTGGACGTTGCACAACTTCCATTCTTACACACTGCTGGCTCCTGTCATGCTTCCCTTGTCTGTCTGCCACCATCACTCAAGGCTGCTTGCATTGCTTGTCGGAATTCAGGGAGTGCTGACTTCCCAGCCCAAGGCTAGTTACAAGGTGAGAGAGTGCTGATTTCCCTTGCTGCCTAAGACTGTCCACCAACAGTCACAGCTGGTTCTGTGGTCTGAGTCCATCTAGTGCCAGTCACCAGTCCCAGTTCTAGGGCGACAGGGTTCTTGTTCCACCCCTATCCTCACTGCCACTGTGGTCCCCACACTAGAGTTTCCAGTTAGACACTATGGTGCAGGACAGAACAAAAATATCAACTGGTGGCCCATCAGTGCTTCCTGGTCACTTGCCCCTGTGTGTGCCCAGGAAATCTGTTGCAGGCTGCAGTGTCCTCTGTTTATAGGAAAACAAAAGCAGTGAGGGCCTTATATCCCAGATCTATCCTGTGTGGATTGAGTTTGCCACACATTTGCTATTTCTTTTGGGAGAACTTCCCAGGAATGGTGGTTCTTGCACTACTTGCAGGCAGTAGGCAGTAGACCCATGGGCAGTCTTAAAGCCTGGATAATTCTTTTATAAAGTTCTATATTTATGTTTTGTTTGATCTACAAGTCTCTAATTTAAGATTGATTTTGGCATCAGAATGTATGCCCCTCCCTTTCTTCCAATTACCTGTGTTTTTAGTTGATTTTCTTTGAGTAGTTCCAATGTGTTTCTTCCTCAATTCAGCCATGTTGAATCTTTCCCTGTTTTGGTTTTTTGAGATGGGTTCTTACCTTAAAGTTCACAGGCCTCGAACTCACTATGTAGCCCAAGGTGGCCTTGAACGCACAGTGATCCTTCTGCCCCAGGAGTGCTGGGACTATTGTACAGGCATGCACAGGTTCTTTTGAAATCTAAGAAAATCTGTTCTATTTTCTTCTGTTCTCCATCTGCTCTGATGAGAAATCCAAAATTATTCAAATCATTATTACCATATAATTAATGTATTATTTTTCTCCGCTACTTTTCCAAGATTATCTTCTTTCCAAGATTATTTCTTGGTTTGTTTTGTTGTTTTTAGTAATAAATGAAAACAATTACTTACAGTATCATTATTTGGCTTATCTCCCTTGGGATTCACCAGAAACCTGGAACTTGGAGCTTCATTTGGTTTGCTCTGCTTTGCTGCCTACTTCCCACATTTGCACCTTTATCTGGAGCCTCATGGTGGAGGGACAGAAACAGACCAAAACAAAACAAAACAACAACAACAACAACAAAAAAAAACCCAAAAAAACCACAGAGGCTCCTGCTCATTTAGGACTGTAGCTATTTTGATCGAGAAATTTCTCTTCACCTCACTCAGAGGCACCTGTGGGTTCCTGCTGTCATAGTGCTACTACAGGATTACCTGGATTCTGGGTTGGAACACAATGGAGAAAAGATTTAAAAAGAAGAAAAAGTGATTTTCCTTATCCAGTCTTAGCATCAGAAATCAACTTTCCTATCCCTCAAGTCAGAAAAAGGGGGATTTTTGAGAGCTTGCTCTGTGCTGATTTCTAATTTTGGATTTTTAATCTGTCTTGATACCAGGTTAGGAAGTATCAGAGGGAAAAATACATAAATTCACCACTAATTTAGAGATTCATCAAATCTTATTTTTTCCCTATTTGCCTGCTAACATCTTCTCTTGAGACGCCTCAGATGTCTTTCACATGCATTTTGTTAAGGTTTCATTGCTATATTCAGTAGGAGGAGTGTGGTTACTAGGAATTGTAATGAAAATTGCTTTGGAATCTAAAAAATATGTTAAGTACTGTATCTCACAATGAGTACAAAAAACAAAACTATTGATTTCTCTGGAATAATTTTATCTTATTTAATGTTTATAATCCCCATTTGTTGCAAACACTGATTCTCTTCTCAGTCACCTGCTTTCTGATTCTGAAGAGAATTCTTTACTAGATAATACCATACCAGATGGGAACAATGTGGGTGGAAAAGTTCTCTTGTTTTGGGGGCAGTCCCCATGAAGATTTCTGAGAAATGTATTCTTCTAAGTACTAAGCAAAATAGAATATGGGAGAAAGACAAAAAAATGTTTAATGATAGCATCAGAAATTTTCTCCTAAACATACAATGATTACATGCTTTTGTTGGTTTTGCTTTAAGTGTAAAGAAGTCACTCATATAACTTAGGTGGGTATTAGGACAGATAAGACATTTACCCAATTAACTTGCTAATACAATGTTAGGTTTTTTTAGATAGCAGGCCTCAACATTTCACATGGCTTTTTCAACTACAATTTCCTACTCCTCCTACAATTGCTCTGCTATGTTTTCCCACAATACATAATATAATCATGGCCATCTGACTGAAAATTCAATTTTGTGAATAAAGGGAAAATATAATTAATACCTTAAAACATATAGGCCCTTATTGCAAAAAGGGCCAATTTACTGTAAATGAGAGCTATGGTGAAAGATTTAACTTTGAAAAGCAACAATAAAATGTTTGTTTTTTGAGGCAGGGTCTAACTATGTATTCTAGGTTATCCTTGAACTCACTATGCAGCCCAGGGTAGCCTCCAGCTTTCAGTGATTCTCCTTCCTCAGCTTCCCAAGTGAGGGGATTGTAGGTGCACTCCACCAAGCCCAGCAAAGAAATTCAAAATAATTACTTCAGGTACATTTTAAATATCAACTACTGTATTGCTCAAAAGGGCAATACTGCAGAGTTATGATGTAAGTCAGTGAAGCTACTGTATGAAGTCTTCTCTTGGGAAGTCAGCTTGGACCAAAGAATAGAGAATACCAATTCAGCCTTGGTAAGAGTAGAGAGTTAGGGACATAAGGGCATCAGGCATAAAGTCTTTCAAAATAGTGTCTGGCTGAATATTCATATAAAAAACTAGGGCCTAGAACACCGTGAGTGTTTTCTCATTCACTCGGCCAATATTTATTGAATGCTCAGTACCACTATTTAGGCACTGAATATCTAGCAATGGAAAAAACAAAGTTCCTTCCCTCATCAAGTGTTCTATCAGGGGTGATAAATGAAACAAGTAGTAGCAATGTCAGCTGGTAATTAAATAGACCATAATGAGAGCAATAGAGAGTGGGGAAAAAGGGGTTAGTACTTCATGTAGGGTGATCAGGGAAAGCCTTCTTGAGACAATGCCATTTGAGCGGAGACCTGGAGGAAATGAAGTAGCAAGACACCGAGACATCCAGTGTGTTCCAGGTGAAGGGGGAAGCAAATATAAAGGTCCAAAAGTGGAAGCCTCAACAAGGAAGACAGTTTGATGGGAGCTGAGTGACAGGGAGTTCCATGTAGGAGGAAGTCACAGAGATAGGCGAAGATGACAAGAGATGTCAGGGATGATGGTCTTGAGCAAGCAATGACTGGTGAGACGGGGCCGGTTCAGAAACAGTCCCTTCCCACTGCACCTCACTTTCCAAGGTGAAGCAGACAGGAAGCCAGGCCCAGAGAGTAAGTTAACTTATCTGAAGATCATGACTAGAAATGCAAAGTGGAAACCCAGCGTCCTGAGTTTTTGATTCCCTTAGGCTATTACATGAGACCAGAGAGGAAAGACCAGTAATAACCCATAATTGCCTTAGGTTGTGAATACTAATTTTTCCACCTCATCAGTGAGTCACTATTTTAATCACAAAGGAAATATTTTCTGTCCTTAGATATTTAAGATTTCTGCTATCTGGTGCTCTTCACATTAAATAACCCTGATACTACAGCTTAGTTTTTTTTTGGGGGGGGAGGGGTGTTGCTAAAAGCAGCCAGAAAAACTTAGTATTTAACACAGGAGCCGCTATGTGCCAAGGAGTGAGATTGGTGCCATCGTCTGTCCCATGTCACAGATGAGAAAGCTGAGGCCCACAGAGATAAAGGAACTTGCCCAGCGTCACACAGCCTGTCACAAAACCCTTTGCACTAAGCTTGTTGCCCAGCTTTGAGTACAGGCTAGCTTGCAGTTGGGAGACTACCTCTGTCCCCACGCGCTAGCGCTCCATTCCCTTACCCTCAGAAGAGAGGGACAACTATCTCTTTAAGAAGGAAGTGAAGACGGGCCTGCGCAGCTGCCGGCGGCGAGCAGCCGACTGGCTAGTCCCCTGCATCCACCTCTCCCTACCCGCCCTTCTCCCGGCAGCCCCAGCCCCGGTGAGCACCCAGCCAGCCACCTCCAGCAGGGGCTCCGGAGACCATTCCGGCGCCCCCGGCAGGGCAGCCAAAGCCATGGAAGCCTCCGCAGGTGATGACAGGGACCCTGAGACCCTCGGGGACCCACCGCCCAGCTGCACCCGCGGCGTTCCAGAGGGCCGGGTGCCGAGGGAGATGTGGGCCTGGAGCTGCGTGCGGAGCCGGCAGCCAGCAGCCTGAGCTCCACACTTTCTGGCTGCAGTGGTCCAGCTGTCAGAGGCCAGGGGCTCAGCTGCCAGGGCGCCCTCCGCCCACTCTCACCCGTCTCTGTGTGTCTCTTTCCCCACCGCAGCAGGTTGCTGACCGGAGCCAGGCGGCTGCAGCAGCGACTGCAGAGGCGCTGCGCCAAGCGGGCCAGAGTCGTGAGAGCTGGCGGGGCTGCGGAGGGCAAGAGGACTCAGGTGAGGAGGCCGCCGCGCAGCAAAAGGGAGCCTTGGGTGGCTCCGAGCAACTGGGGGCAGCTTGTCACGCTCGCTGCGGTAGAATCCCTGGGCTTGCAGGGGGTGGGGGGACGGCAGGAGGCTTGGATCCTGACTCATCTTACCTTCCTTTCATTCTCCTACATCCTTGTTAAGCACCCCACTCCCAGACGTGAAATTGACTTAGAGGATAACGATTGCTGTAGGGAAGAAACCCGAGGTGGGCGATTAGGAGGGTGTTGGGGGAGCTGCCCCTCTCCATTCCTATTAGTCTTCTGACATTTGGTGAGCATGCAAGCTTCTCTTTGGAGCCCCGCACCCACCCCAAGGTCAAGTACAAATGACTGCTTCCTTGCCATATTCCCCAGTGTAAAGTACCAGGGCCCTGCAGTAGATCTGGAAAAAATGACCATGACCCCTGGAGTGAGTGTTCTTGATCCTCCATTCTCCCTGGAGCTATGGGGATGTGCTGCTTTTTCCTCCACTCTCCAGCAGGGAGCAGCACTGTTTGCAACTCTACTAGCCTGGGAAGTGCCCTATTCCCTGCCTCAGTCCTGCAGACTCAAGGAGAGGCCTGGTCATATGCTGCCCTTTCCTTGGCTTTCTCTGTCCATCCGGTAGGCTGGGCTAGGGGAGCTTCCCAGAAAAAGAAGATCACTGCAGGTAGAGTCATGTACAGAAAGTGCCAGAGGTTGGGAGTCTAGGCCTTTCCCTTGCTAGTTAGCCAAAGTAGCCATCTTAAAATTCTTTAGGTGTGGGTGTCTGTTTGCTTGTCTGCTAAATACAGGAGTTGGATTAAATGGTCTCTACAGTTTTAATGTACCATTCAAGCTGCTCTTAGGAGTTGGAGGACCTTCTACTAAAGCAACTTAAATTTAGGTCCATGGACTAATTAGGGTTTCCTCAGTTAATATCTTTCAACTCCAGACTTCTTGAGTGAAACATTGACTTTGTGGGCCTCATTTCACTGGAGGTGTCAGACATCCCCACACTGTTGAGCTACTTCCCTTCCCCAAGCTTCAGCTTCCTCATCTATAAACCTGGGAAGAGCGACATGCTTCAGAGGGTTGTTGTGGGGCTTAAACAAGATGTACACAGAAGCACCTCAAATGGGGGCTTGGCACATCTGAGGGTCTCAGGAGATAGACTAGGAGAAGGAGCAGGATGGCTGCCTTGAATCCTCACCCCTTTTCTCTGTCCCCAACCCCCACCCTGTCTCTTCCACATCCTTGCAGACGGTGTCCCTGCCAGGAGATAATGAATGCTGGAGTGTGTTGGCCACCAGAATGAGGGCCTAGATGGTAATCAGGAGGTGCAAACATCTCCACTGCAAGGGCTGTGACATCGTTCTAGTCATTTCTAGTAAATGATGTTCCCAACGAGGCATGTGGCTCAGCCCTGGGTTTGGAAAACCTGGCATCTGGGTGGGATCCCAGCCTAAGGGAACAGAAGCTTCTGAATCTTGTGCATTGGTAAGGGAACAGGGACTAAGGATCTACACAAATCCCACTGTTGCTCTCCTGTCCTCTCCAGAATCTCTCCTTAGACTCTCACTGACACAAGGGAAGCAAAATTTTGGTGGCTATATTTTCTATTTCTTTTTGTCCTTTGTGCTGTCCTTTCCAGCCTACATTCAGCCTTTCTTGCTCTAGACTATCTCACAGAGACTATCTGCCTTTCGACAGCATGATAAAGGAGTTTCCCCACAGGGTGGGGAAACGCATTTTGCTGCTGCAATAGTTAGGACAAAAGAAATCATCATATCCTCCCTCTTCCCTAAATCCCTGTTAGATTTGAGGTCCTTTTGGCAGAGGCCTGAGCTTGTCCTCTCCATTTCTAGCCTCTGGCCTAGGGCCAGAGTATGTGCTCTAAAAGTGTTGAGTTGAAAATATTTGAGGAAATGACAATTCCTAAAGCAGTAAGATTGGGGAGAAATGGCAATGTGTTGATGGTGTAGGTGAAAAGACATTCGACTGTAGGAGACTGAACAGGTGTTGGTTATCATTATGAGTGCTATTATTAATACTGCAGTTATTGACACTGCAGGTATAACGGTTACTTCACCTGCTCTTCTAGGGCTCCTGATTGGGGCTGGTGGGGCCAGATGTGCCTGGGAGTGGGGTGGTGATGTTAGCAACCAGGGATCCAGGGTTCTGACTTGTGTAAGACACAACAGTGAAGGGAAAAACCTGGGAACAGAGCCATGCCAGGCAGTGCTGCATGCAAATCAGAACAAGTGGGCCAAGATAAGTGAGCAGTAGAAAGTCATGAGACCAGGTCCCAGGTCTGATTCAGCTACTGCTTCATTGCGTAACTTTGGGCCCATCAGCACCCCACAAGGTCTCTGTGTCCCTATTTATATACTGAGGCAACTGGACTAGATGGCCTGGAAGGCCCCTTCTGGAGCTGACATTTCGTCAAGTGGACTCTAAAAGAGGGCAAGCATTTATTTCTCTTGATATCATTTATGGGATAAGAGTCCATTCCCCATCTCAGGTAATCCTCATAGCGATGTGTACCTATTTAAACACAAAGAGGCTGAGACTTAGAGAGATTAAGTGATGTGTCCATGGCTGCCCAGCCAAAAGTAGTGGGCCTGTTCTGACCCCAGGTGAGAGTGTGTGCTCTTCCAAAGGTCCCACTGCCTCCCTATAGTACCTTGCTATCACATGAGCTCTGTATACTTGTGCATGTATATGGGTTCAGAGACAGGAAAACTGAAGGATTCGTGGGAGATCAGGCATTTCTCCAAGCAATTGTTGCAGAGGACTTCCTCGTTGAGTTGAAGCATGTATGAGTCACAGCTGCGGAGTTTTTACCATAAGCTTTTTAACATAAGGAAAATGGCTGGGTCTGAATCCTAATCATGACAGGCACACTCTTTTTTTTTTTTTCAGTGCTCTGTTTTACACAAGTTCTATTATTTATTCCTCAGCCCATCGCAACATGTTGGCACTATGTATAATTTTACCTATTTTACAAGTGAGAAAATCAGGGCAGAGAAGCCAAGGGTCCTATCCAGGTTTGCACAGCTGCGTGTTGTGGGACCTGGAGAATGCTGAGCTGGAAGTCCACTAGGCTAAGAGACAAAGGATTGCTTTAGTCCCTCCACCCCACACTGACTGCGTGACCTCAGGTAAGCCGGTTTCCCTCTGAGAGTCAGTGTTCCCAGCTCTCAAATGGAATGGTTGCATCTATCTACTAGTTCTAAAAAGCCTAAATGCTTTATTCCAGAATAGGGAGTTGAGGGGATCCCTAGTCTTGCTGAACATTGATCAGTATCTATTACTGAATATTAGCTGGGACCTGAGCTGGTGCCTGGGATATAGAAAAATGTGAGAGGAAAGTGGATCCCTGGTTCCGAGGAGCTCACGTCTAACAGAAGAAGAAAAATACCTAAAGATGTAAGTGTGGGGAAATGTCTAGGAGCTGTGAGGCATACTGATATGATGGGGAAATGGAGGAGTAGGGGAATGGTTTTTATTATTGTCTTAAGTACTTTTCTTGTTACTGAGACAAAATACCTGACACCCAAAGTTGAAGAAAGAAAGGCTTATTTGGCTCACCATTTGTAGAGGTTTTAGTTCATAGTTGACTACAGGTTGGCATGGCAGAGGGCCATTGCAGAGGAGAAATAGTTCACAGCAAGCAGGAGCAGCAAGCAGCAAGCCTTTCTGTCCCTTAATTCTTATTCCGGCCACCACCCTTAGGGTGAGTAGCACTCACACCCTTTTTCCCAGCATCACACACCCTAGATCCAGCCACCTCTGGAAGGCTCCACTATGACTGCATGAGGCTTGGAGTGGGTGCATCTAGATACAAAGCCCTAACACTTACCAAGTGGTGGGGATGGCTTTAGTGAGATGATGCCATGGTTCTCTTATTTTCTGTACTGAGTCTGGAAATAATGATAAAGATAAAAATAGGGTTCTGCTCAACTAGACATTTCCAAACCATTCAAAAGACCCATTGGCTCTCGTTCCCAGCAGCTCAGAAAGTGGCCATAGAGTCTGAGGGACCATCCAAGCTCCCACTGGTGCTGTTCTAGTGAACTATCCATTTGCTTCAGGGGAAGCAGAACTTTTCCTGTCTTTGGATGCTTTTAGAAGCAGAACTCTTAAATTCCATTTGGAAGTCCTGTCTAGTGCCCATAACCATCTAGCAGGTTTGGGGGATCCTCTTTCCTGTCTACTCTCAGCATTCCACCTGTCAGGAGAAGCAGCCGACACCCTGGGAGATGGGACATTTGCTTACTCGGCAGGCTGGATTCACAACCCCGACCTATGGACATTGTGCTTCCTACCCACTTGGGACCTTGCTACATCTAGCCCACTGGGGGCCTCAGGGCCATTGCTTCTTCCAATGGACAGATGGTGCTGAGTGAAGGTTTGATGCAGGTGATACTGAACTGAGGGCCATGAGAGTGGAGCTGGGGCTCTTTTCCCTGGCTGCTTTGCATCCTTAATGGACAGATATTTATGAAGAGCTTGTCACATGCCAACCAAGGAAGCTTCTGGGAAGCAAACTGGTGCAGTGGAAAGAGCCATCCCAGAGGAGTCAGCACTGAGTCCTCAGCCTGGCTCCACCATCAGCTCTCTGGGTGGCCTGAGGTTTGAGGTTAGGTCCCTTCTCTTCTACCCCTGTGAAAAGGGAGGCAGAGGCGGTGATTGAAAGGGGCTCTTCATCCTCTGGCAGGCTTAGTCAGCAATGCTTTTTTCCATACTGTACCTGCTTTAGGGGCTGTATGGGTGGACAGGTTACAGGTCTGTAACTTGAGAAAGAATAAGATAAATGTAACAAGGCACGAACAAATGCCATGTGGGTTTGCTGAGGAGAGGGATTAGGAATGGCTTTATTAAAAACTGATGATAGGGGGAGAACAATACAAAGAGCTGGAGTTGTGGTAAGCTTTGTTGTCTAACTTGAACCAGGAGTAGGAGTAGAAGCCTGTTGTCATGTGGGGACAGGAGAACTGCAGAGCAAGCCATGTGTTTCTGGACTTGGATTCCACAGAGATTCGTACATTTGGAATTCACCCTAGGCTAGCCAGCTTTTCATTGTGACAGATGAGGACATTTCAAGTGACATTTGGGTTCTGTTCACTATCATATAGCAAGAGGAAGAACACTTAAATAGTGTTAGCCTCCAATATCAGCAAAGAGGTACCACTTCAAATTGAACATATTTTGCTTTTTAAAAACTTGCTGCAGGCTGGGGATATAGCTCAGAGGTGAAAGCTTGTTAGTATCATGCATGAAGCCCTGCATTCCCTCCCCAGCACTGAAGAAAAAAAGAAAGAAAAATATAGCCCTTACTATATTGTCCATAATTTTCCCATTTTGCCACAGGCAAATGTTTTTGGGTAGGCTCTGAAGTCAGGTTACTTGGGTTTGAATCTTGGCAAATTACAGTTTCTCTCAGAGCCTCTGTTTCCTCATCTGTGAAGCAGGGAATGATGTTCTCTGTCTCCTAAAGTCATTAGGAGATCTATCTCCCAAAGTAAAACATACAATGCCTTCAACCACACAGACAAAACAGTTCTCTGGGCTCTTTGGGGACTATAGCAGTTGGAAAGTGCTTGCTTGAATCAGGTAGCTGACATTCTTGCCTACAAGAATATGAGCCTGGTGTTGTCATGTCTACTGATCTATAAGAGAAATCTGGATATTTGTTTGTGACAACTTCTAATTGTCAAAATATGGCCAACGATGCAACATTTTCAAATATACATATGAAAATATGTCTGTAACAGGCCATCAGTTTGTGACCTCTGATGGAGGTTTTTGATCCTGGGCACATAGTGCTCAGCAGTTGTTGGCTGGTCCCCAGAGGAAGACAGAAGGGAGGAAAGGCTGGAAGACAGGCCTTGGCCAGCGCTCCCAAGGCTGGGGAGCGCAGCCTTACTCAGGCAGCTTCTGATTATGTGCTTCTGGGCTCCTAACTCCAAAGGCCTTAACTGTGCACCTTTGCATTGAGCAACAGTGTCAGGATTGAATCTCTGGGGACTGAGCCCTCCAGACACATCTGCACCCTAAGCCAGATCTCCCTGCCACAGGATCTCTGTAAGTTTGGTCGGTAGCCTCAGAAGAAGGGTTTTCGAGAATAGCCTGTGAAGACTGGCACAAAAGCCACTTGAGAGACAGCATGAGAAAGGCTCCTAGCAGCTTCATAATGGGATGGGTGATGGTTCCTGTCTTTGAAAACCAGGCCAGCCTTGCATCCAAGTGGAGGTGGTGCGGCTGTAAGCAGTCTCTGTGTACAGCTCTGTCATGTGGCTGCTGCAGAGGAAAACTTGGCTCTCATTACAGAAGAAGCCTAGAGCTTTCTTAGAGAGGCACCACTGAGAAGCTTTTAATTAGCAGGAGGGGCCCCACTGACATGGTTTCAGGGCCTTCTGAGATTCAGATTAAAGCCACTGATAACAGTTTATGTTTTTGTAGCTCCGGGTAATCAAATATTCATCAGTTACCTA